GTTTCTGCCACACCTCAAACCTCTGGGCCTCCTGCAGGCAGGAGTCCTTACTCCAGGCACCACCATGGCTGAAGCCGACTCCAGCTACACTGCTCTGGCTTCTCCACGATGTCAGAAGATGAAGGAGAGAAAAAAAGAGAAAGAAAACGACGAGAAAGGAGAGAGAGAGAGAGAGAGAAGGATGCAGCCGGCCTGGAGTGGCCGGACTCAGCAACCCGAACACTACCTGGTGAGTCTTCGGCTGTGATGTGGCGGTGCCCGGAGTGGGGACTTGTGGCTGTAGTATGCCTGAAGCCTAGTTGCCATCGCTGTACCCAGAGCAGGGACTCCTTGAGGCTCAGGACACCTTACTGAGATCTTGCCAAAGCCTTGGATTTGTGTTTGAAGATCGCTGTACAGAAGCTGAACTCTTGTTTATATAATTTCTTTTTATTCTTTTTTGCAACTCAAAATGGCGCCAGATTATGGCGACAAAACACTTTTCACTGTATCATTCTAGTTATATTTGACAGTAAGTAATTCATAAATAACTCATAACTCATAGTTAGATACGCTATTTCACATTTATTTCATGTAAATACAATGCAACATCGTATATGGAAACTGTGGGGATAAGCTTTAAATTTACAGCGTACAACACAATCATTCAAAATGTGCTGGGCTTGATGACCTTTGTCATCCAATCTAGAATCGTAGCTGGAGTTCTATTTATATTATCACAAATGGAAGTTGCATTGTCATCAGACTTTGTGGGGTGAAATTGCCACGTCTAGAGTCTGTATTGTGCTCACAGTGACACAGTAATCTGTTTTACAGTGCACACATTTCCCAAGTGTCTTTTCCATTGACTTCAATCCTGTTCTTTTGCCTACTTATCTATTATCCCACTTTATTATTATGATATTATTGAGGTATTGAAATATTATGATAAAATTGTGTTACACAGCAAATATATACAATGTGGTGTAGTCAGAAACAGCAATCAGCAGAGCCTTCAGACTCACTGAGCAAGAAAGCACATACATTTGTGAACCTCTTAAAAGCTGTATTGTACAAAGACACCTGAGGGCTCCAAGACCTGTCACTATCAGTGAAGACTAATGTTGTTCAGTCCTTCCATTTTGTTGCTTAGGGGTCATTTGATCTTTCTACCCAGTGAAATTACTGACAAAATAAAATTGAGTTACAACGGTTGAATGGAATAATTATTTTGAATAATATCATGCACCCAGGCTGTTTTCTTATACTTGTAAAAATTGAAAACATTGTGTGAAGTTTATCCGAGTTGTATGTATTTGACATTTTCCACAAATATGAATGAATTGACTGTCACTGTGTACATATGGTTCAATATGTAGAATATGTTAATGAGCATTGAAGTAATCGCCAAAATCAATGTTTCCCATCCGCACTATGTTATAAATAATAAATGGAATATCTTGCCTGCCAAGTTAACAATCGCATGATGCTGCTTAAATCAAATTGGAACTCTCTGATTTGTTTAATGGCTTTCTGGTTTGCTTACACCAAGGACCATATGCACGAGCAGCAATATCTCCTATGTAATAACAAATATTTATTTGAAAAAAAAATTATAATGCAGTTTTAATGAAACTGGTGACCGAAATAAACTTTTAAAACAAAGTAGGACTTTTATTTTAATTCGGAAAAATTGATTTAATACTAAGTGCATGTTCAGTTGGCAGTCATCATTGGTACATTTGTGTCAGCAAACGGGCTGTTGTTTAGGCTGTGTTTAACAATCATGGTGGAATTACCTATAGGGTGCATGCACCATGACAGTGCATTATACAATTGCAGTTTTTATTATTGCTGCATATGTACTTGATATTTGTAAACAACAGTCATTATCATTTTACTGTAATGTTTTGGTAAATTGATTAGTGAATATTGTAAGCAAGGATAAAAAGTAATTTGCATGATTGAGAGGGTGGATAATAAATTGCAGATGGGAGCAGGTGAATAAGGGGCCTGCAATGGGAAAAGTACTAGAATTATGATGCTTAACTTGACGTTGCCTGTCAAAAAAGTCTTGACAAGTTTCTGCAGTGTATCTTGTAGACATGACACACTGCTGCCACTGTGGACCAGTGGTACAGGGATTGAATGTTGAAGGTGGTGGAAGGGGTGTCACTTACGTTGGCCAATAATCCAAGCAGTGGCCAGTATTTTATCATTTTCCATTTCAGTCAGTTTGTGTCTTGTAAATATTGGATGGGCTTTGAGCATTTAGGAGAGACGATAACTGCTGCACAACTTCCAATCTCTGACATCCTCTTACAATCATAGCACTATATGGTTGACTTGTTTCTGATCAGTAGTGACATCTGGCCACCGAAGTTATTATCTCCGAAAAGAGTTGCTGGTATTCTTACCTGGAATAGTCAGCTTTGGAACCCTTAAGCATAATGCCATGAATACTGGCAACCTGAAATAAAAAGCAGAGAATGCTGGAAATGCTCAGCATGTCAGGTGGAACTAAGGAATGTATTTTCTCCCTCCCTGGAGGTGGCAAGATATGTGGCGAGTAGGGGAGATAATGCAGCGAGTTTGATCTGGAGAGAAATGTACCCCTTCTTGGCACCTCTGCTCAAGCCCATGGGTGGCCTTTTGTACTTGCCAGAAATTAAGGGCCTTAAGTGATCAATTAATTGCCACTTAAGGGCCTCAACTCATTATCTTCCTAATTACCAGTCATCCTGACAGTGAGAAAGGTAGCTGATTATGGGAAACCATGACAAACTGCTTGCTGTGTTGAAGGTAGTACTTCTGATTGCCCCTAATTGGGGATAATCAGAGGTCTGGATGGGAGGCAAGGGGGTCATCTCTGAAAACAGCCCCTTGCCTCTCCCTCTGATACTAACCTTTCTGTGTGATCCCATGCTGTAATAAGAAGAAAGAAAAACATCTCACTGCTGGATCCTCCCCGAGGCCTCCGGTTTAATCCAATGGACTATAGGAATCTGAAGCTGCATTCTCAAGGTCTGTGATAGAGTGAGCATCTTGCATCTCTTGCCTGTCAGTTCTTAACAAGTAGCTTGATGGGTGATTAAGTGAGTTATCTCACTGATGGAGGTGGTTAGTTGCTATCTTACATATTCGGCCTATACTTTGAAGAAAAATGGAAAATCACACCAAATTTTTCACGTCAATAACTCTTCCAACAAAAGTTTATTGACCCAAAATGCTAACTGTGTTTTTGTCTCCAAATATGCTGCATGATCTATTTTAATGGTATGTGTGCTATTTACAGACATGGGCTGATTCCAGGCAAATTTTCAAGGCTTGTATTAGTTAATAAATTGTGATGTCCTGTGGGATTCCCATCTGTGGTGGAGACAATCACTATTTCTGTAGCCACTTCCTTTAACGTCCTAGGATAAATCCCATTAGGTCCAGGGACTTTTCAGTCCTTAACCCCGTTAGTGTCCCTTTCATTTTTTTCTCTAGTAATAGAATAAGTATTTCTCTCCTTTTGCCGCTTTAAATATTTAATAGTTTTGGCATGCTATTCATGTCTTTTACTGTGAAAGCTGATACAGAGTACCTACTCAACTACTTTTCTATTTCATGGTTCCCTGTTATTGCTTCCCCACTACCTCATCCCGTATGAGGTCTATGTTTACGTTGGCTCCTCACTTCCTTTTAACATATGTAAAGAAGCTCTTGCTGTTCATCTTGATATTACATGCAAGTTTACTGTCAAAGTTTATTTTCTCCCTCTATCATGTTTTTGGTTATCTTTTGTTGATTTTTAAAACTTTTACAACCCTTTTGGCTTAACTCTAATCTTTTACTATAAATATCTTTCTCTAGCATAATCATTTTATGCAGCTTGTTTAGATACAAGTGTTGCTACCTTATACTATAGAATCTTCCCTGTGGCTAGTGGCTGGAAGCTGCTACCCAGGTGGATAGAGTTGTTCAAAAGGCGTGTGATGTGTTAGCTTTCATTAATAGAGGGATTGAGTTCAAGAGCCGTAAAGTTATGCTCCAGCTATACAAAAGCCTGGTTCGGCCACATCTGGAGTATTGTGTCCAGTTCTGGTTGCCTCATTAGAGGACAGATGTGGAAGCGTTGGAAAAGATGCAGAGGAGATTTACAAGGATGTTGCCTGGAATGGAGGGAAGGTCTTACGAGGAAAGGTTGAGAGAGCTAGGGCTTTTCTCTTTAGAACAACGAAGGATGAGAGGTGACTGGATAGAGGTGTACAAAATGATCAGAGGTATAGATAGGGTAGACAGCCAGATACTTTTTCCTAGGGTGGAGGTAGCTTTTACGAGGGGATATAGTTTTAAAGTGAAAGGAGGTAGATATCGGGGAGACGTCAGAGGTAGGTTCTTTACTCAGAGAGTGGTAGGGGCATGGAAAGCATTGCCGGAGAGGGTAGTGGAGTTGGCCTCATTAGGGGCATTTAAGTGGCTATTAGATAGGCATATGGATGATAGTATAAGGTAGCGATGGAGGTTAGATAGACCTTAGGTTTCGGGTAAAGGTTTGGCGCAACATTGTGGGCCGAAGGGCCTGTACTGTGCTGTACTGTTCTATGTTCTATGTTCTATGAAGATAGGACAATATGCTATGCCCTATGCCTTTATAGCAGATTTTTATACTTCTCAGCAGCAGCACTGAATCCCTAGTAGTTTAAGCAAAAACCACCTCATGAAGTCTGTTGGGAATTCTGCATAATATGTAATATCTTGTTGCTGTAGTTGTTACAATTTGAGTGAAGGTCTGAAAAAAGTATAAGAATATATTGATATCATAATTATAATTTATTTGAATGAAAATTTATCATACATCTCCTTGTCAAGTTCCCTCTCGACTCCTTCAAGACTCGGTTTGAACATGTGCATACCCATTGTCCAGTGACTACACAAGTAGCTATGAAATTTATCACAAGTCAAATTTGACTCATAATAACTTTGTTAGATAGAACTAATAGAGTACAATTTTTTTTCTGACTTCCTTTTCTCAGGGCATGGAGAATGTCACTGTGGTGAATGCAAGTGTCATGCCAGCTGGATTGGAGACAATTGCAATTGTTCAACAAAAATGGACTCATGCCTTTCAGATGATGGGCAGATTTGCAGCGGTAGAGGAAACTGTGCATGTGGCCGATGTTCGTGCACTGAACCTGGAGCATTTGGGGATACCTGCGAGAAATGCCCAACCTGCCCTGATGCCTGTGGCATGAAAAGGTATGAATCAAACCCCTTCGTTCTGTTCAGTCAAATGTGCGAGTTCACCACCCATACTGTAGTTACAAGATTGTTGGATTTGAGTGCATATGTTAAGTGGAAAGGTCCGTCTATAACCGGTAAATCCAAATTAGGCAAATATTACTTTTTGCTTCACAATTTAAGTTTACATTTTCATAATGTAAATATGTTCTTCACTTAAACCAATTCATATGAATGGTAAGTAGTAAAATCAAATTGTTCCATGGAGCCTATGGTAACCTGGCTGTGAGATACATGGTGTTATGTGCTACTGAGCTTTATGAAACAGTGGATCTACTTTTGGCTTACAGTTTGTGCTTAACTTGCTGATTAAACACAACTGAGCAGCATTTCGGGTAGTGGAATGGTTTGCACGGTGATATGTGACAAGGTGGCTACAACATCTTCATTTAACGAGTAAGAATGAATTCAACCAGTTGACCTTTACAACAAATTATGCCTAAAATTGTGTACGATCATGCTTTGCTATTTTGGCTCTTCTTAGCTGAATATCTCCAGACTGTCAGTCAAGACCACAACATAAAGAAATACCACATGGGCAGCGTATTAGGGGGCTGCTGGTTGCTATAGAGGGAGTGCAGCAAAGGTTTACCATATTGATTCAGGACTGCCATATGAGGAGAGATTGAGATGGTTGGGATTGTATTCACTGAAGTTTAGAACATTGAGGGGGCTGTCATAGAAACCTGTAAAATTCCAACAGGACTAGACAGGTTATATGCAGGAAGGATATTCCTGGTAGTAAGTTTAGTACCAGGGTCACAGTTTAAGGATAGGGGGTAAGCTGTGGAATTCATTACCACAGAAAATGGTTGAGGATAAACGTTGTGTTTTCACAGAGGTAGATATTAGTCTTGGGCTAAGGGGATTAAGGGATATGAGGGAGGTTGGGATTAGGATTTGATGATCAACTATGATCATCATGAATGGCAGAGAAGGCTTGAAGTCAAATTACCTACTCCTGTGAACATACTTCTATGTTTCTATGTATTTCAAAGCATGAAGAAAGAAAAGAAAATTGCAAATAAAAGTGGATTAATTTTGAGTTGCTCACCAATATTGTTACTGTAAGGAGTGGTTCTGAAATGCCTAATGGCATATATCTCTTTTGCTGAAGCACTGCTGAGAAATGTGAAACAATCCATTGATCACAAGCCTTCTGAAATGTGTTTAGATTCAAAAGAAAGAGCAACCTTCTTGAAAGGAATTCCATTACATGTATCTCAAGAGATGCATACAAAATTATAAATTAGCTTACCTTCCTAAACCGTCCTTTTAGTCTGCTGCCCAGACTTGTTCCACCCACTTCTCAAGGCCTGGAGCCTCACACCAGAGTGACACTTGATAAGTCATAATCAGCACAGAGAGCAGCACTATTCTATCTGAGGCATTTGCAATCTGACCTGGCTATTGTAGGTGATTGTTCCACTGCTTTAATTTGGGATAACCTTAAGTATAATTATGAGAAGGAAGCCTTGAGGATGACATTGATTGATTTAAAGTCTTTTAGTAGGTGTATTAATTTCACAACTATACTAGAAGAGTTGGAGGCCAATGCTTTCTCAGAATTTTTTTCATGCATATAGTTCAGAATAGTTGAACATAAGCTTTAACTTTATGCATTGGCTAGAAGGTTTCACCACACTAATTGATCCTCAAAAGTCATGTCCAGAAAATGAGACTGGCTTCTCTTTTTCAGTTTTGCTCATTTTATATTAATGACAATAATATCCATTTAAAGATGCTGAATAACCACAGGGGCTCTCCCACTCAACTGTCAGAAATTTGGTGGAAGCCCATTTACATCAGTGTAATTCCTTCCAGGCAACTGAGATGGGAAGGGAAAAAAAGGTCAGATTTGCCTCAGCTGTCAGATGATTGTGCCTTCAATTTTAAAATTACACCTTCAGCTGCATGCATTTCAGAACAAGTGTAACATTTCAGAACAAGTGTAAAAATAAATACCCTGCTGATACAGATATCTCTGAAGCCTAACTTGGTTATTGAAATCTGAACTAATTACAAAATAATTCCCAAGCATGGGGTAGTAAATTTAAGTTAATGAAACTAAGCACACCAGTGTGTGGTCAGTAGAAAGGTGTAATTGAATGGAGAGACTGAAGTTTGAATACCTAGTTTCCTGGATGCATGTGCCAATCTCTCACTTTTTCTGCATGTCTTTGCATATTACTTCTATTCAAATAGTCATCGAATGTCTCAGTTGAACCTGCATCCACAGCCTTGCAAGCAATGTATTGCATACCTGAACTACTTGCTAAGTGAAAAGATTTTTCCCACTTCATATTTGCTCATTTTGAAAATCAGTATAAATCTTTGCCCTCTCATTTTCATGTTTCTTTTACAAGCGGGAATAATAACATGAATGAATGTAAACGTTATTAATATACTCCATTTGAATATATGTTATTTCACGTTCTCATAACGATATGGGTCTCTTCATGAATTTTCCCACACACACAAAGACCAAAATGCAGTTGTGTATTTTAAGATCCACTTGCAGATGGGCTGGGATGTTGTCAGAGACTAAAGCTTTTTAAAATAGCAAACCTGAACACAGCCATCCAGTACAGGGTTTATTGGAAGCTGATCAATGGCAGAATCCAACCATTCCACGTTCAATAAGGTTGGCAGCCTCTGATTGAACTTGGCCAGTTTTCCAAGGTCTGTCGAAATCTGGCAGCTTCAGAGAGGTGGTGTGTATATTACAGCACTATTTGCAGACCAAAAGGAGCTGAAGTGATTCCTCTCAGTCTAACACCCCCACCCCAAGAGAAACCCCACATCTGGGAATCGGAGCCCCTCAGGATTGGTAATCTAACCTACCAGCACTTTCACCCTGCTCATGCAGTCTGGAAACTACCCATAAGTTCACCATGAACATGTGGAAGCCAGACTTTCAGTCAAGTTGACATCTAGATGGGGAACTTATCAGAAAGAAAAGATGCATGCTGTAGATTCCAAAAATCTGGCCTTTGCAACCTACCGTTGTTAATATCCAAGTTTTGACTGTACTCAATCTTTATTTGATACCTATGTTCTCACCTCCAATAGAAATATTTAAGGATTTCATGTCTGACCATGGAGTTGCTTATGCATGCAATTAGAATGTTTGTATAGAATACAGTCCTTCATTAAGGTGTCTCTGATGGCAGATTGCCTTCCCTTATTTTTAATGCGAAAATCAAAAATAACAAGTACTTGTCACGGTTTGTTGCAGGGAGTGTATAGAGTGTAGATTGTTTAATTCTGGAAGACTGGCCGACAATCAGACTTGTCAAAAGCTCTGCAAAGATGAGATCCTGACTGTGGATGTCCTCAGTAAGTGAATACCTCTCTTGCTTTTGTTTAAAATTAGAACACATAATTACTGTCATAATTTATAAATGATGAAACCTAGTCAGTGATTATAGAGTGATTCTCAATATTAGAATTACATCAAAAAATCAAAACATTGCTTTCTAAGGATGTCACTTTGAAAGATTTTGTGTGGTCGGAGGTATCTGCCCATTTCTAAAAAATGTTATCAGTATTTTGATTTTTTTTTTCAATAATTTGTTGTTGCGCATACTGGTTCTATAGTGATTGGAACCAGGTGCATGTTGTTGACAATGAAATGCTTGATGTGGGTTGTTAACCTGGGCTGATCAGGAAAATTGAATCGGAGATAGTAGGAACTGCAGATGCTGGAGAATCCGAGACATCAAGGTGCAGGGCTGGTTGAACACAGCAGGCCAAGCAGCATCATAGGAGTAGAGAGGCTGACAATACTCCTCCTCCCACCCACCTTCCTGCAAAAATGCTATCCCCTATTCCCAATTCCTTCGCCTCCGCCGCATCTGTTCCCAGGATGAGGCATTCCACTCCCGTACATCTCAGTTGTCCTCGTTTTTCAAGGACCGTAACTTCCCC